GAAGGAAAGAGCAAGACAATTTGAAGAGACTTGTCATAGAGCAATTGCTGAAGGTGGCTCATCTGACACCAACCTTGATGCGTTTATCAAGGATATTTCACAAGGAGGTCACCATTAATTATGTTCATGATTTGTTTAGTTTTGATTACTTGATTAATCATAATGATGGAATCAAATATACCTAAAAGTCCAACATGTGGGCAGCAATATGCTAAACAAACTCATTAACACCTAAGCAATTTTGTCATCATCTCTTGCTGGCAAGAGGGCAACGTGTTAATAGTCGAACATCAAGAATATCACTTTTTGCTATCTCGATCAATAATGCAATAATGTGTAGGATACCTTAAAGTGAGGTTTTCTATTAATGTATATTTGGAATCAAAATGAGGTGTGCGCTATCAATGCATATTCATGGAAAAAGCATGAACCAAATATACATATTTTATATAAGGAATCAAATATACCTATTTATACATATGTATATTTGGAGCCGTTGGATTGGTACTTGTAATGGATAACACTGTTGCCGAGGGGTAATTTCGTCTTTCGAGGATTTTCATGATAATCTCTTCAATCTTCATTTTATTCTATATAAAGCTTTCTTCAAACTTCATCTTCAATCTTCCATAAAAAGAGAGAAAATGGGAACAGTAAAAGACAACCACATCTCAGTCTGCCACGTGGTGGCGCTACCCTATCCCGGCAGAGGCCACATCAACCCCATGATGAACCTCTGCAAACTCCTATCCTCAAAGAAACCCGACAACACACTCCTCATCACCTTCGTCGTCACCGAGGAGTGGCACGGCTTCATCGGATCCGACCCGAAACCTGACAACATCCGATTCGCCACTCTACCAAACGCCATCCCCTCCGAGCTCGTCCGAGCAAAAGACTTTCCTGGCTTTGTGGAAGCCGTGAGCACCAAGTTGGAAGCTCCGTTTGAGCAGCTTGTGGACCGGCTCGAGCCTCCGGTGAGCGCCATAGTTGCTGATCCGTACGTTGTTTGGGCTGTGAGGGTCGGGAACCGGAGGAATATTCCGGTGGCTGCGGTTTGGCCAATGTCGGCGTCGGTGTTCTCATTTTTGCATCACTTTGAGCTCCTCAAACAGAACGGACACTTCCCTCTTGATGTGGCAGGTGCGTCCACTTCTACGCCCACTTACTTTATTGTTTAGTTGCTTCAAATTTTCGCCAGAAAAAGAGTTGCTTAAAATCTTTGATTATTTTTAATTTATAAAGTGAAAAAGAATTTGCAATCACTTAGCTTGTGGCAAGACAACAAATTCAATAATGGCAAAGTTGAATTTTGCCACTTGCTACATGCCAAGGGATAAAACAGTGCGTGACTTCTAGTTGCCGCTTTGGCGAAACACTTTGCATAAGACATAAGATGGGAATAACATTGTTTTGCAATTAAGGGTTTCTCGCTATTAAAGGAGTATGTAACGTATACGATTCACTTTATTTTTTTAATTTTTTAAAGCCATTTAATTAATGTGATTTTTCTAGCACTTTTTTCAAACCAAACAAAAAAAAAAAAGTTAAATTGCGCATGTCAAATGTAGAATTTGACCATGACTTTACTCGTATCAATTTTTGATACGCCATGATCTTCTGTCTCTATAAAATCTAGTATAATCCTTTTTCTTCAATGTTGAGAACCCCATAATTTGAAACTTGGTTTTGTATGAAACTTTTGAATGAAAATCTCAAAGCCTTTTACATGTAACAAAAATAATGTTATCTCAATGCAAAAATTTATTGATGTTCTTTCTCTATTTCTCTGTGCTAATTGTATAATGCGTAGAGCGTGGAGATGAGATAGTAGACTATATCCCTGGACTTGGCACCACGTCCATTGCAGACCTTCCCACAATATTCTCTGCAGACGGTCAAAAGGTCCTGGGCAGAGCCATTGAGGCTGTTTCTGGAGTAGCAGATAAAGCACAATATCTTTTGTCCACTTCAGTCTACGAGCTTGAGCCTCAAGTCTTTGACACTTTGAAAGCCAAATTTGCTTTCCCTGTCTACCCAATTGGCCCAAGCATACCTCACCTTGAGCTTTCAGAAAGTCCTCCCACTGATCACAATGACCTCAACAATTGGCTTGATTCTCAACCTAAACACTCAGTATTGTACATCTCTCTGGGAAGCTTCCTCTCGGTTTCGAAATCCCAAATGGATGAAATTGTTGCTGGGGTGCGGATTAGTGGTGTAAGGTTCTTGTGGGTGGCTCGTGGGGATGCCTCTAAGTTGAAGGACGGCGTTGGTGATAAGGGTTTGGTGGTGCCTTGGTGTGACCAATTGAGGGTGTTATGTCATGATTCCATTGGTGGGTTTTGGTCACATTGTGGTTGGAACTCAACTTTGGAAGCTGTTTATGCTGGTCTTCCAGTTCTCACTTGCCCTATATTTTGGGATCAAGTGCCTGATTCTAAGCAAATTGTGGAAGATTGGAAGATTGGATACAGGGTGCTGAAGAAGAAGGTGGGGGCTGCTGAACATGAACATTTGGTGACCAGAGAGGAGATTGCAGAACTTGTGCAGAGGTTTATGGATCTTGAAAGCAAGGAGGGGAAAGAGATGAGGAAAAGAGCGAAACAACTTCAGGAGACTTGTCACGGAGCAATTGCTAAAGGTGGCTCATCTGACAAGAACCTTGATGCTTTTATTGAGGATATTTCACGAGGCCATCACCACTAATTATAAGTTCATGATTTGTGTTGGGTTTGTGGGAATAATATAATTATTGGAGGGATATCATTTCTAATTTCTATTTAGTTTGGTTGAAAAATAAAATCATGATGATTACTATGTAATGAATTATCTTTTTCATTATTTTCATTTATGGAATCAAATATGTATACCTATTCAACATAAAAGTTGGTGTTGTCCCATTCACCACCTCTAGAGCCCACTTTTGACCAAAATAGTACGACCTTTTTTTATCAGCAAGTCAGTGTCATCCAAATTACCAAAATCTGATTAGTTTTGAACATTTGAAATTGAAATATTACACTGTGACCTAAATAAATTATATTCAACTGTAAAGATAACATTCATATTATAACACATAAATTAGTAACATCACGTCATACGTCAAGATTCTTCTTATTAACTTGCAGCCTGGATCGGCACCACACGCATGGCAGATCTTACCACAGTATTCTAGCATTCCATCATTTGGTTAAAAATTGGCATCAGATTTTTCAGAATCGATTATAGACTCTATTTTATTGTTTAGTGAATGTTTGAAATGAAATAATATACCTAATTTAAAATAAAAGCCGGTATCTTATATAAGTTAGGTTAGTTTGTTAACGCAGTGTGTTCGTCTCTTGCAATCGAGTTGCACTCTTAATAATTTAAAATATCGCGTTATCAAAAACGAAAATTTGACAATTTCATACTAACCATCGTCCAATGCAGTGGCGGAGCCACTCCTAGACCTGGAGTGGCCCTGGCCCCCCCATATTTTTACCACTCTTCGATTATATTATATATAATATATAGAATTTGTAATAAATAACTTAAAATTTAAGTTAAAATGTCCTCTAAAACAAATTAGATATGACTTAATTAGAAATATTTAGCTCTAAACATGTAAGTATTGAATATTTAAGTGTTTTATATACTTATATTTTCTATTTCGGCCCCCCTAACTTTACAATTCTAGCTCCGCCCCTGGTCCAATGGGTACTCTAAACAAATGAAACCTATTTTAACATGAAAAAAAGAATCAATCATCCAGAGGATAAAACAAAACACTGAAAAAATTGCAGTCACAAGCATTTATACAAACCGGGCAGTAAGCAGAAATCCAAGGCATAAATGGATACCTCCTCCAACGTCCTCCATGTAGTGGCGGTGCCTTATCCTGGTAGAGGCCACATCAACCCCATGACCAACCTCTGCAAATTACTAGCTTCCAGGAAAAACGACATTCAAATCACCGTCGTCGTCACCGAAGAGTGGCTTGGCTTCATAGGCTCCGATCCGAAACCCAATAACATCAGCTTCCGTACCATACCCAACGTCCTTCCCTCTGAGCTAGTTCGTGGCGCCAACTATCCCGCCTTCTACGAAGCCGTGATGACGAAGATGGAAGCTCCGTTCGAAAAGCTACTAGATCAAATTCATCCTCCGGTGACCGCCATTATAGCCGACATCGAGCTTCTCTGGGCAGTTCCCGCAGGCCGCTGGAGAAATATTCCGGTGGCTTCGCTTTCCACACTGTCGGCGTCGGTTTTTCATCCCCTCTTCCGAAATAGGGAGCTGAATTTATTAGGTAACATTGATACATTTTAATATTATTTTATTAAAAATAAATGAAACTCTGTATAAATGACTTGCCTGCCTCAAAGACAAAAACGTTAAGACCTTTCTCTCTAAAACGTCATAAGAGTCATGGCTACCTCCGACGTTGACTCAGTCACCGTCAGCCACGTGGCGGCGATGCCATTCCCTGGCCGAGGCCACATCAACCCTATGATGAACCTCTGCAAGTTACTAGCTTCAAAAAACCCCCAACTTCTCATCACCTTCGTCGTCACCGAAGAGTGGCGCGGGTTTATCAGCTCCGACCCGAAACCCGACAACATCCGGTTGGCCTCCATCCCAAACGTCATCCCTCCCGAGCGTCTCAAAGCCGCCGACTTTCCGGGCTTCTACGAAGCTGTCATGACCAAGATGGAAGCTCCGTTTGAGCTGTTGCTCGATCGGCTCGAGCCGCCGGTATCAGCTGTCATAGCTGATATTGAGGTTCGGTGGGGTGTTGGGTTTGGGATTCGGATGAATATTCCGGTGTCTTTGTTTTGGACTATGTCAGCCACCTTCTTGTCCATGCTACACCGTTTTAATGTTTTCTCACAAAACAAGAACATCCCAGTTGAGTTTTTTGGTAAGTAATTGCTATCTGCATATATATATATATCTTTTGATAACCCAAATTGAAATTGATGTGGAAATTGGGCTTGATTTGTTTCTCTATGATAGATTGTGAAGATCAAATACCAGGGATTTCTTCTACTGATTTAGCAGACCTTGGAGAAGTGATCGAAGGAAACGACCCAAAAGTCATTAAGCTTGCTCTGGAGTGCATTTCATGGGTTCCAAAAGCACAGTATCTTCTGTTTACTTCCGTTTATGAGCTTGAACCTCAAATCTTTGACTCTTTACAAGCAGAATTCCCATTCCCTGTGTACCCAATTGGTCCCGCCATACCTTATCTAGAGCTTGAACACAATTGCTCTGTATCAGCTGCTGACAATAGCATTGACTATCTGAAATGGCTTGATTCTCAGCCGAAAGGCTCTGTCTTGTACATCTCGTTGGGCAGTTTTCTTTCAGTTTCGAGCACCCAAATGGACGAAATTGCAGCAGGGCTGAGGAATAGCGGGATTCGGTACTTGTGGGTTGCTAGGGGGGAGGCTTCTCGGTTGAAAGAGAGCTGCAATGGTGAAATGGGGTTGGTGGTGTCTTGGTGTGAGCAACTGAAAGTGTTGTGCCATTCTTCTGTTGGTGGTTTTTGGACTCATTGTGGGTGGAACTCCACTCTGGAAGCTGTTTTCGCTGGTGTTCCAATGCTTACTTTCCCTCTGTTCCTTGATCAACTGCCCAACAGCAGGCAAATTGTTGAAGAATGGAGGATTGGCGGGAGGGTTAAGACAGAGGTACAAGATGAGAAATTGATGACAAGAGAAGAAATTGCTGAGCTCATGAAGAGATTTATGGATCTTGAAAACAGTGATGGAAAAGAAATGCGGAAAAGAGCGAAAGAACGCAGCGATTTGTGTCATCAAGCAATTGCAAAAGGGGGTTCATCTGATACAAACCTTGATAATTTTATCAGGGATATAGGCAAAGCTGCAACCTTCTAGCGGACTGATGCTCCTTCCTTTTAGTAAGACACAACTTACTTCTCAATATGCAAATTAGCCCTCATCCATGTGAGTCTTATTAGTCATTTTATGGAGAATCCTACAGAGCTTCATCTTGCAGCAGCAAAAAGAATTTTTTGCTACTTAAAAGGTACGGTTGATTTTGGTGTTGTCTATAAGAAGGAAGCAAAGTCAGGTTTGTTTTTTATTTTACAGACAATGACTATGCGGGAGATCAAGATGATCGAAGGAGCACTTCAGGATATGTGTTTATGATGGGTTCAGGCAGTTGCCTGGTCATCTAAGAAGCAGCCGATTGTGACTTTATCAACAACCGAAGCTGAATTTGTTGCAGCAGCATCCTGTGCATGCCAAGCCATTTGGCTGAGAAGGTTAATTGAAGCACTTCACTACATGCAACAAGGTCCAACATCAATCTATTGTGATAATGTCTGTTATTAAGCTTTCGAAAAATTCAGTTTTAATGTGAGATATCATTTTCTTCGTGATCTCTGCAAGGATGATGTTATCGATCTGATTTATTGTAAAACTGAGGACCAAATTGCTAATATTTTTTACCAAGCCTCTCAAGCTGCATGTGTTCGTAAAATTGAGAAATTTGTTGGGAATTAGTTCTTTGAAGGATGTTGCTTGTTGATAGTTGAAGAATTGAAGTTTTATCTTTAAACTGATTATCTGCAGAACATTCAGTTTAAGGGAGGGTGTTAAGAATATTTATTATTCTATTTATTATGTTTATGGGTATCTTGTTAAGTTGTGGAAGTCCTATTCTTTAAGGACTTGGTTGTTAATAGGAGAGTCCAAGTTGTCATCGAGTCATGGTTAGTGGCTGAATATCATGGTTTAGTCGTGCAGTAGTTGTTCCTACTATTTAGCTTAGTTTCTTTGTTACTTTGCTATTTAAGTTGTATTCAGTATTCAAGTTGATTAAGAAGTGAAGTTTGAATTCCACAAATAAGTTTTTTTTTTTTCTTCACCTGTTTCCTTATTTTCAACACTTCCTCTCTCCTCGGATAATCTTTGATAGACGCTGAACCTGGACCTCAACCATGTTATTCAATCAATTATTGTAACGAAAAAGTATTTTAAAACGAAAACCTGCTCAAGTCATATTATCACCCATAAAAAACAAGAAGAAAAGACTTGGTCCATTTTAATCTTCCTTAAAAGCCCCTCCCTTGCGCGTGCATATATGCAGCGACCAACTTCAACTTTATTACTAATTACTCATTTCATTGAATCATGAAATCGGACATGGATTCCACCAGAGAATTAGAACCACCACCAACCAGTGTCTGCCACGTCGTGGCTCTGCCCTACCCTGGCAGAGGCCATATCAACTCCATGATGAACCTCTGCAAACTACTGTCTTCAAAGAAACCCGACATCCTCATCACCTTCGTCGTCACCGAAGAGTGGCACGGCTTCATGAGCTCCGACCAGAAACCCCACAACATCCGGTTTGCCACTGTACCAAACCTCATACCCTCCGAGCTTGTTCGTGCAAACGACCTTCTTGAATTCGTGGAAGCTCTGAACACCAAATTGGAAGCTCCGGTTGAGCAGCTACTGGACCGGCTTGAGCAGCCGGTGAGCGCCATTGTTGCTGATCCCTGCGTTGTTTGGGCTACGAGGGTCGCGAGCCGGAGGAATATTCCGGTTGCTTCACTCTGGCCCATGTCGGCGTCGGTGATCTCAGGTGCGTGCATCGTTGCATAATTATTATATTACAACCCAAATTTGAATGTTATATTCTACAACAATTCTCTCATTTTAATACGTTTTGTTTTTGACATGTTATTGACAATTCGTTATTTAATACATAAGGGCACATAAGAACTGTAATTAATATTCCAAACCTTTTCTTACGCATTAATATTTGTTTTGTGTTGAAAAGAGTGGGGAGATGATGAGGTAATAGCAGATCTAGATCTTCCCACGGAGTTGAATGGAGACGGTCTGAAAATGTTGAAGATAAAACTGGAAATTGTGCGTAGCATACATAAAGCACAATATCTTGTGTCCTCTTCAGTCTACGAACTTGAGCCCCAAGTGTTTGACAATCTAAAAGCCAAATTTGCTTTGCCTATCTACCCTTTTGGCCCAAGCATACCTTACTTTGAGCTTTCAAAAAGTCCTCCCACTAATCACAATTACCTCTATAATTGGCTAGATTCTCAACCTAAACACTCAGTTTTGTACATCTCTCTGGGAAGCTTCCTCTCAGTTTCAAAAGTCCAAATGGATGAAATCGTTGCTGGGGTGCAAAACAGTGGTGCTAGGTTCTTGTGGGTGGTTCGTGGGGATGCCTCTAAGTTGAAAGATGGTGTTGGTGATAAGGGTTTGGTGGTGTCTTGGTGTGACCAATTGAGGGTGTTGTGCCATGATTCTATTGGTGGGTTTTGGTCACATTGTGGTTGGAATTCAACCCTAGAAGCTGTTTATGCTGGTGTTCCAATTCTCACTTGCCCTATATTTGGGGATCAAATCCTCAACGCTAAGAAAATTGTGGAAGATTGGAAGATAGGATGCAGGGTACTGAAGAAGAAGAAGAAGAAGGGGTTTGAAGAAGAAGATTTGGTGACCAGGGAGGAAATTGTACAACTTGTGCAGAGGTTTATGGATCTCGAAAGCAAGGAGG